ACCACCCCTATAGCACCCTCAATCGGTACCCTATGATGAAGTTAACATGATAAGAATTAATAAATTAAATATTGAATCCCTTTATTAATATTTATTTACATATTTAAAATATAAATTAAGCAATTAACCATAAAATATCTACATTATGACGTTTATTACAACAAAAAAAAGATAAAGATGAGAAATAAAAGGAAGAGAAGAAGATTGACTGAAATACCTCTTGAACAAGCTTTATTGAATCTTCAAATATGGAGAAGATGCTTTGTTGCGACCTTTCAAGGTGCTTTGTGGCGACCTTTCACACTACAGTATGTCTCACAAATCTCAAGAAATACAATAGGAGGGAGGGAGAATATAGAAATGCGACACAAATCTCAAGAAATATAATAGAAGGGAGAGAGATAGAGAATTTTCGTGCTCAAAGGAGTCTTATTCAAAATTTCTCTGGCCGCCCCGAGAACTGTGCCCGAAACTTCTATTTATAGGAATTATAAGAGGCCAGAATGGCCTGTTCCGAATTCGGAACGGCCTGTTCTGGCCCAATGCAAATTTCGTACCCTGGAACGACCTATTCTGAAAACGGAACGACCATAGTAGAAATTAACACAAATTTTCCCTTTCCAGAACGGCCTTGGCCAAATTGTCCTTGTTGGGGAGGGCGGTTTCTGGTATTGGAACGGCCCGTTCCACCCAAGACTCTTTAGGTGTTTTTAGTTACGTTGGAACGGCCCGTTCTGATATTGGAACGACCTGTTCTGGGGTTCAGAACGTCCCGTTCTGATTTTGGAACGGCTCGTTCCGATTTTGGAACAGCCCGTTCCGGGCTACTAAAACCACCTTATTTGGCCTTTAGGCCTTCTGATATCCTGTCTTGTTGTTTGCCTGTTTCAGAAGCTCCTTCCCTTCAGAGGTCCATTTCTTTGTTTGTGTGCCCGGACAAAATTGAGTGTCTACAACGATATACTGTATTTTATTTTTTTCTCATTAATTTATATTTAGGGATAAAATAGGAATATATATATATATATAAAAGTAGTTATCCTCTTTAAAAATAATAATTACTTACATTTAAAAAAAAACACTAATTTTATTATTTATTTTTTTTCGAGAGAGGAAACGTGTTTTTCTTGCTAGTAACGCATGAATACACAGTAGCATGCGTGAGTGAGTTATTGAAGGTACTAGGTTTGTTCGAACGACATCGTTTTGGGCAAGGGGAAACAGTGGAAAATGAAGGCGTTGGGATGGTGGCTGATAGCGGTAGGCACGCTTCGATTGGCTTCCGTATGGTTCGGTTTCTTCGACATTGGGGCTCTTCGTCTCACCGTTTTCTCCAAACCTACAAGTAACTCTTTCTTCTTTTTACTCTCACCATTCCTTGCATAAATCTAGATCCTCACTCCTTTCAATGCAAGAGTTAACAAGTATTTTCATTGTTTTTTCAATTCTCAGCAATTTCATGCGTAGAGATTTAACATTCTTTCACAAATTAAATTATAAGTTATAGAGCAGGCTTTATTTTCGAAAAGTTGTTCTGCTGAACTTGTTTAAGCTTTATGTTGTGTTAATTATAGTTTCAAATGCATTTTGTTAGCATTATTCATGCATGAAACACATTTAACATCTAAGTTTACTGACTGAAATATAGGATCATCGATAGTATGGATGCTATTGCAATGGAATCCGCATTCGAAGCACTCTTAGCAAGCAAAAACAAGAGACGTAGCTTAGCTCTAGACATCTCATCCTTTATTTTATTTTATTTAGAGACATTTCAAGTTGATAGGAATAAATTTCGTTATCCATTGTGGTGTACAAAGTCATGGATGCAGTGCTTCACCATGTTAGCCTGTCGTTGAAAATGCAAGACAATTATTGGCTTTTGCACTAATTGATTTTGAATAGATGAGATCCCTCGTGTTTAGAATTTTAAAAATGAATTCTAGTCCATATTATTTTTATGTTTACTGTGAGTATTAAGCTAGCTAGTACTCGTGTTAGTGTCAGAATTATTGGGACAAAAGGAACAACCTACCTTTCTATTTTAGCTCTGTATTTTATTTTCATCTTTGCCCTTGCTTTTTTATTCGTGTTATAATGGCAATTTCAGTATTTCATAATTTTGTTTGATTATGATATTGGGGAAGGGTAAGGGCAAGGGTGGCTTTGGAGCAAATGGGACAATAACTGGGAAGGCTTGCCCCAAAGGGTTGTACGGTACCTTTTGTGAGCTATGTTTTCTACTTTTCTTTCCACTCCCCCCCAATTCTGTTATACTATTTTGATATTTATGTGCTCTAGCTAGCCTTTTGATCTTCAATTTCCATATTGGTTGAATGTGACCTTATTCTACGTGTCTTGGTAGTTTGTCTAAATGTGTTACTTTTAATGGTTAAATTTATGTTTGAGGGATACTTGTTTGATTATAATGCTCATCATCACTATTTAGGTTATGCATTGTTTTTATTTCAGCCTTAATATGGTGGTTGGTTGATGAGAGTCTGGCATGTTAATTACATTTCTGTTGGTTATGAACTGGTATATCCAAGGATGGTTTACTTCAATTTTTTTGGGGAATTATACTTGAAAGGATGTTAATATATCAAGTTCAAGCAGACATGAAAGCAACATCTGATGGTTAACTGAGTAAGGGAACAGGGAAAGCTAGACTAAGCATGGGCATTGAGTCTTGATGGACATGATGCAGCAATAGGTGTTTTCCAAAGGAGCTGAGTGCCACCATACAAGGTCAATATCTAAGTCATGTCAAAGTTGCAAAAACATGAACTAACTCAAAGAGACATGCTGTGCTAGAAACATGAAGTAGGTCACAATTTTAAGTTTGTTAAGTGTGACAATAGGGAGAATGCACATGGTAGTTATCAAGTTTTGTGCTAGACAGGAGAGTGAGGAATGCATGAAAAGGGCCAAAATGCATAAACAGTCTCACCAATTATCATGTCAGCAGTCTGTTTTATCCTAGAGCTTGTTAGCCCTTCCTTCTGTCTTTTACACTGACAACAACCTTTAGTTTTATAGCTTAAGCATGCCTTAATAGAATCCAGTGCCCCCTTTCGTTGCATATGCATTGTCTAGCAGTATTTAAAATACGAAAGCAGTTTTTGTTTTTGTTGGTTGCAAGTTTTTGGTACATTAGGCTTTGCCCGAGTCTATTCTGATGTGGCTACATCAAAATTGGTGAGGCTACTCTATCTTGGTACCTGTGAAAAACTTGACTGGAATCTCACCTTTCTCTGCACCTAGATTGACAATAGCTTTGACAGCACTGGATTAGAGGGGGCTTGCTCAAATTAATAGGAGCTTTCTTTACCCTATTTGCCTCACATTCTCTTGTTACTTTTTTGCTTTCCTTTTTTGATGTTTAACTGATGCTTCTACTTCCAATTTTCTACTCATAGGCTTTTATACTTCGTGTTTGTCTCCAGGAATGTCCAGCTGGGACTTACAAAAATGTTACTGGATCTGATAAATCACTTTGTCATCATTGTCCTGTTAATGAGCTTCCTCATCGTGCTGTTTATATTTCAGTCCGCGGTAGATTTTACAATTTAATACATGATTGTGTAAACTGGCATGCAAGAGGTTTTATTCTCATGTAGTTTGACGTATTAAATTTTGGAAGCTGAGGGATTTGTAAATTTGTCATTCATTTATTTATTCATGGGAGTATGTTTTATGACGTGACCCCTTCCCCATTCATATTCTTTTCTAAACGATACCCATCTTATTTTAATTTATGGTGCACTGATGCATAATTTTCTGTCTTGTGCTTTTGTGCAGGTGGTATTACTGAAACCCCTTGCCCCTACTAATGTGTTTCGGGTAGATATCACATGCCTGACTGTTATACAGCTCTTGAAGAATTAATTTACACATTTGGTGGGCCTTGGTTATTTGGCCTTTTTCTTACGGGTCTCTTGATCCTGTTGGCACTGGTGCTTAGTGTTGCAAGAATGAAATTTGTTGGGGTTGATGAATTACCAGACCCAGCACCCGCCCAACATGGTTCTCAAATAGATCACTCCTTCCCTTTCCTAGAGTCACTAAATGAGGTTTTTCTCAAACCATGTGGATCCTTTTTTTGTATCTTTATTCTGATATTTGTGAATTAAGATTAGTATGCCCCTTAACAGTTGCTATTAATTTTTTCATAGAAATTTTTACTAATGGCATGATGATGCATGTTGCATAGGTGTTGGAAACAAACAGAGTTGAGAAGTCCCAGAGTCATGTTCACAGAATGTACTTTATGGGACCTAATACTTTCAGTGAGCCCTGGCATCTACCACATACACCTTCAGAGCAAATACAGATGTTGTGTAAGCAAATCATTTTTCTGTTTGATCATTATAGATCCCATGGTTGAAATTTGAGGATGCCAGGTCTTTTATTTTGTTAATTATGTTATTTGGTTATGATTTTGAGATGGAGATCTTCAAACACTTGACATGGAAGTTATGAGACCGAGTTCAATACAATTGTGGATGAAATTAATGCTACAGCTGCTTACCAATGGTGGGAGGTAGCAATATGTAGCGTTCTTTCTGTTCTTGCTTATCCGCTTGCATGGTCCTGGCAACAGTGGTGCAGGAGATTGAAGTTGCAACGCTTATGCGAGTTTGTTCAATCAGAGTATGATCATGCTTGCCTTCTTTCTTGCCGATCACGAGCTCTCTATGAAGGGATAAAGGTTTGACTTGTTAATATACTTGTTGAACTTGTGAACAGTGAAGAATTTAATATACGAATGATTTGCTACTGAATTGTGTTGGTTTAGGTGTATCTCTTGATCTTATTCTCATTTGCATTTCATATGGTCCAATGTAAATGTTGAGTTCATTAAATATGTATAACTGGATACATGCTGACTGAATTATATGTTTTTATTTCAATTTCTGACATGGTTAGTTGTATTTCTATAGTTAACCAACAGTGATCTGTCATCATGTGCGAGTTAATTTATTTCGTTACTGCTGATTATATCATTCACTTATGTTTCATAAAAGTAGACGGGTTACATTTTCATAAATAGGCAGGTTACAGGATGATATCATTAATTCAAAACTATTGGGCATGTTGATAGCTGGTGGGAGATGAAAATTTCTTCATATTTTCCTTTCCTGATGTCAGCTTCATGTATAGGCTTCATATATTTGTAGTAATTTTGAATAAAAGAGTTGTTTCTTTAAGAATAAAAAGTTTGATTATCCTTTTTGTTCCTACAGTTTCATCAACTTTAATTTTTAGGCCTCATAATTAAAAACATTTCATTTTAGTTCATATGCATACCATTTTATAAGAAATAAAGGAAACAAAAATGGTATGTATATGGACTAAAATAAAGTATTTTAATTATAAGAATTAAAAGGTCAAGTTGATGAAACTATAGAGACTAAAAGGGTAATTAGAACAAATATTGACCATAATTCATTTGGCTGCAAATCAATACAGAGCAACTGGCTATTGTGCCAACTTATATACAAGAGATCAGCACCAAGCAGCAGAAGTACGCCTGCCAACTTTTGCACAATTACTATATGACAACGTCGGATTCTTAGAACGCTTCCTTATCTTCTCGTTTATCACTTCAGAGTTTCCAGTTTTCCATTTTTCTCCAATAATACAATACATTCATGAAGATATCTGCAAAGATTTGAGGATCTGAATTAGGTTGAAGATCCGGTTAGTAGAAATGGTAATATTCCATAACCGAATAATATAAGAGTTTATTTTTTATATTTTGTATAAAAGTTATATATAGTCAACTTATCAAAATTTATGAGATAATTTTCTAAAATTATCATAAAAATTGACTAAATTATCCTCTATATATATATATATATATATTGATAATAATAATAATTTGGCTTAATTGTGTTTTTGATGCATCAAGTATTGCAATTGTGCAATTTTGATCTTCAAGGTTTTAATTGAGTAATTTTAGTCCTTGAAAAATTATAATTGTGTGATTTTAGTCCCTTAATTTTTAATTGAATAATTTTAGTCTCTCAACTATTAATTGTGCGATTTTAGTCTTTTCCATTAAAAATTTAATAATTTTAGAATTTATATATATAATGTTTTAAAATTATACATTTGTTTGCTTATTTAATTTAACATATATTATAATTTTTGTTAATCAAATGATATATATTTATTATTACTAAATAAATAAAATTTATATATTATTAGTATTTTAATATTATTGATAAATTAATATCAATAAAAATTTTAGTATATTTATAGATAAACTAATAATTTGATAAATATGACTTAGTATATATTAATATATTTTTACAAAAATATAAATATATAAGAAAAGATATGTATATTTCTAATTAATATACTTATAT